ATCACTAGAGTATGTATTCACTGCAATGTTGCACTGATCACTAGAACACACATTCACTCGGTATTAAGAGTGACAACTCTCATTTGACCACAACATCCATGTGCTTCATTCTTCTGGGAAACTTTCACTCACAAGTGTTGCAAGAGTTTGTAAATACACCATCATCTAAACATTGCTCAATTAATTAAAAAAAAGAACATTTTTCTCTAAGCAACATTCACCTGAAGTCACCTTCAGTACTAAGTGTTGCATTACCACTTGCAATGGTTTAAGTGAATGGGCACCGTTTTTGTCACTCCATGGATCCCAGCTCCTAGACCTCAGCCTTCCTTCTCTTTGACATCATATCCTTCTCCTTGACCATATGTCACAACTCTTTGACCGTATATCCTCTCTCCTTGACCATATGTCACAACTCTTTGACCGTATATCCTCTCTCCTTGACCTTATGTCACAACTCTTTGACCGCATATTCTCTCTCCTTGACCTTGTCACAACTCTTTGACCGCATATCCTCTCTCCTTGACCTTATGTCACAACTCTTTGACCGTATATCCTCTCTCCTTGACCTTATGTCACAACTCTTTGACCGCATATTCTCTCTCCTTGACCTTGTCACAACTCTTGGTGTCATATCACTGCTGTTTCACGTTACATCACAGGTGCTTGACGTTATAATCCAGCTACTTAACCTCATATCCCATCTCCATGACCTTATTTTTCAGTTCCTTAACCTTCTGTGCCTGTCATGTGCTATATAACTACACTAACTTGTTTGAAACAAATGATTGCATGAAGATAAAATCGTCCACTCAAAGGGAACTAAACTGTTCCGTTTGGAGAGAACATTAAACTCGTATCTCTTACTTGGTATTACTGGTGACTTCACAGTTGATGGTGTTGGTGGTGAAGATGGAGTTGACGGTGCTCTTGTAGAACTTTATGGGGGCCTCGAAGTCCACGCTGCCTCCCTCTATTGATAGTACCGGAGGAGCGCACTTGAAGCTGGTCACGGGCGTTGTGATAATGCTACTGCAGGAGCTCATGTTGTTGAAGGCGTAGATGGTCAGGTTGAACATGTCCTCCCACCTGTGTTGACGTAATCTTTAGAACATATCTGCTACTTGAGATGTAGGACTAGATAATGTGTTTTAATAGAGAGTCTGTGGGAAGTATTATTAAACATTCAAGAATTTACAGTAACCTGCTAAATTTTCCAAAAATAAAATAAATTTATCGTTGTTATAAGTTGATAGATAAGAATATCGAGAGTTTTGATAACAAATAAGCAAGCAGAGCTGTGTGGTGACCACATCCAAACACAGGTGTGTGGTGACCACATCCTAACACAGGTGTGTGGTGACCACATCCAAACACAGGTGTGTGGTGACCACATCCTAACACAGGTGTGTGGTGACCACATCCTAACACAGGTGTGTGATGACCACATCCAGACACAGGTGTGTGGTGACCACATCCACCAATCATCACCACTCGTACCCCACGTACCCACACACACACATTGCTGCCAATCACTGACTTAACCTCCAATATTTACAAAGTTCCTTCATAAAGACTCAAGACTGTCATCACTATCAGGAGGCCGGCGACATACTCTCCTTGTTGTGGTTCTCTTAACATTTTGGAACTTAATAACTTTTTCAGCTGTAACTTAGCTCTGTCTGCAGTGACCTTTGTTGAACGGAGGCAACGGACTTGTCTGAGTGGATGTTCAACTAATCATAATTGTCTTTAGCTGTCAATAATAATTCATTCGTTTTGTCGGGGGGACGTGTATGTATATACCTGGAACCTTACTGATTGTGATAGTGTTCTAAAATGCAAGTCGTCTAACACCAATAAATAAATGCTAATTCTGAACATTAGGAAATGAATTCCGGTTTGATTTAACCTGAAAGTCATACATTAGAAATTTAATAAACGTCCCCCGAGTTTAATACCAAATTTCTCTGTATTAGTTGAGGATGTTTTACACTTTCTCTGGTATACCTCGTCCCAATTCTCTCTGATAATGGATAGAAGGTCCCTTGCAAAGCTAGGGACGGACACCACTATTATAATCCAGAGGTCAACACTGTTATAGAATAGAGATCAACAATATGTTTGAGGTTAGCGGTCAACTCTGTCCTAGATCCCAGATCAAGAGGTCTGCCACATGCACGAGGGACTAGGCTCTGCTGTGTGCTAGGAGTCAATATTCCATGTTATAGGCCTACTTCTAATATGTGTGATAAGGCCAGTAGTCAATACTGCTTGCTATAGGCTAGTATCTGCTGTAAGCTGGAGGGTTAACACTAACTCTTATTGCAGAAGGGACCAACACTATTATACACTAAAGGTCAACACTCTCTATAATAGACTTCAGGGCAATATTGTCTATAAGAGACAAGAGGTCATCACTGTTTATAAGACAATAGCGATCAACACTGTCTATAACAGACTACAGGTCAACACTGTCTATAGTAGTCCTAGAGGTTAATACTGTTTACAGTAGACTAGAGGTAAAGACTGTCCATAGTAAACTAGAGGTCAACACTGGCTATAGTTGACTAGAGATTAATATTGCCTGAAACAGACTAGAGGTCAATACTGCTTACAGTAGACTAGAGGTTAACACTGTCTTTAGTAGACTAGAGGTCAACACTGTCCATAGTAAACTAGAGGTCAACACTGTCTATAGGAGACAAAGAGTCAACACTGTCAATAATAGACTGGAGGTCAACATTGTCATTAATAGACTAGAGGTCAACACTGTCTCCAGAAGACTAGAGGTCAACACTTACAGTAGGCTAGGGGTCAACATTGTCTATAACAGACTATGGGTCAACACTGTCAATAATAGACTAGAGGTCAACATTGTCATTAATAGACTAGAGGTCAACACTGTCTCCAGTAGACTAGAAGTCAACACTTACAGTAGGCTAGGGGTCAACATTGTCTATAACAGACTATGGGTCAACACTGTCAATAATAGACTAGAGGTCAACATTGTCATTAATAGACTAGAGGTCAACACTGTCTCCAGTAGACTAGAGGTCAACACTTACAGTAGGCTAGGGGTCAACATTGTCTATAACAGACTAAGGGTCAACACTGTCTATAACAGACTAAGGGTCAACACTGTCTATAACAGACTAAGGGTCAACACTGTCTATAACAGACTATGGGTCAACACTGTCTATAACAGAGTAAGGGTCAACACTGTCTATAACAGACTAAGGGTCAACACTGTCTATAACAGACTAAGGGTCAACACTGTCTATAACAGACTAAGGGTCAACACTGTCTATAGAGACAGACAACTAGAGATCAACACTATTACAGACTACGGGAAAACACTGTCTTAAGACTATGCTAAATGCAAAATATGCTATGCTAACTATGCTAATGCTAAGTAAATTTTAAATATTTGCCAAAAGTTTAATATTATATATTACAGGTCACGTAGTATATCATGACTTGTGTATTATATATACATATATATATATATATATATATATATATATATATATATATATATATATATATATATATATAGATATGTCGTACCTAGTAGCCAGAACGCACTTCTCAGTCTACTATGCAGGGCCCGATTTGCCTAATAAGCCAAGTTTTCCTGAATTAATATATTTTCACAATTTTTTTTCTTATGAAATGATAAAGCTACCCATTTCATTATGTATGAGGTAGATTTTTTTTTATTGGAGTTAAAATTAACGTAGATATATGACCGAACCTAACCAACCCTACCTAACCTAACCTAACCTATATTTATAGGTTAGGTTAGGTTGGGTAGCCGAAAAAGTTAGGTTAGGTTAGGTTAGGTAGGTTAGGTAGTCGAAAAACAATTATATCATGAAAACTTGGCTTATTAGGCAAATCGGGCCCTGCATAGTAGGCTGAGAAGTGCGTTCTGGCTACTAGGTACGACATATATATATATATATATATATATATATATATATATATATATATATATATATATATATATATATATATATATATATATATATATATATATATATATATCATCCCGTTCTCGCACTTTCGTAGTCAATATTGACTTATTAAATACGTGCATATGTGACATACTAAACATACTAGTTTACCTTGAAAAGCTTCATAGAAAACACCGGCCTTGCCTAACCTTCTTAGTATGTTAAGATAAGCATCTTATTGCTTCGTAATTACAATTATTATTTAACCTATTATAGGTATAGGTTAAGTAATAATTGTAATTACGAAGCAATAAGATGCTTACCTTAACATACTAAGAAGGTTAGGTAAGGTCGGTGTTTTCTATGAAGCTTTTCAAGGTAAACTAGTATGTTTAGTATGTCACATATGCACGTATTTAATAAGTCAATATTGACTGTAAGAAAGTGCGAGAACGGGTTGTATATATATATATATATATATATATATATATATATATATATATATATATATATATATATATATATATATATATATATATATATATATATATATATATATATATATATATATATATATATATATATAGTTACAGACGTCCACACGTTCATTAATACACATAAGAATATCTATTGTAAATAGATCGTTGAGACGGATCTGATTCTTTAATGAAGAAAACCACTGCTTGAAGGAAGCCATCAAGTTATCAAGGCAATTAAACACTCCAACTGGCTGCCAGTTCCCAACAAAGCACTGACGTGTATGTGTGGGTGAGGTTGATGGCCGTGTCGAGGCTCGGGGTGTTGTGGTAGAGGGCTCGCGGGTACCCCGTCTGGCAGGTGGCGTTCTCACCGTAGGAGTGGACCACCTGCATGTTGGTGTCGCCCCAGTCCACCACCAGACAGGTGCCGGCGCCCACGCTCTCAAACCTCACCGCAAATGTCTTCTCCACGTTCTGTAACGTTTAGAAAGTTTTAAACTCTAATATACATTTATTCAATATTAATTTATTATCTTTATTCATTGAATGTTTATTATTGAAACTAGAGATATAAAGATGAGAGTATATATATTACCTTTCCCACAACAATAGAGAAGTCGTCAATCTGACACATTCTGACGTGGCCGACCATCTGCACGTACAGACTGTACGGCACTGACTGGAACACGTTGACGGCGTGCACCGTCATGTTCACCACAGTCTCCTAAGGGAACAAACGGTACATATTATCCAGGTCACACTCCGCCACACAACACTAAAAGTGTTCATGTTAAATATACAGAATTTGATCTGAGGTGTCCAGGTGATAGCGTCCAGGTGATATTGTCCAGGTGATAGCGTCCAGGAGATAGCGTCCAGGTGATAGCGTCCAGGTGATAGCGTCCAGGTGATAGCGTCCAGGTGATAGCGTCCAGGAGATAGCGTCCAGGTAATAGCGTCCAGGTGATAGCGTCCAGGTGATAGCGTCCAGGTGATAGCGTCCAGGTGATAGCGGCCAGGTGATAGCGTCCAGGTGATAACGTCCAGGAGATAGCGTCCAGGTGATAGCGTCCAGGTGATAGCGTCCAGGAGATAACGTCCAGGTGATAGCGTCCAGGAGATAACGTCCAGGAGATAGCGTCCAGGTGATAACGTCCAGGAGATAGCGTCCAGGTGATAGCGTCCAGGTGATAACGTCCAGGAGATAGCGTCTAGGAGATAGCGTCCAGGTAATAACGTCTAGGTGATAGCGTAAAGGTGATAGCGTCCAGGTGATAGCGTCCAGGTAATATTGTCCAGGTGAACAATAGGGAACACATGTGCACTACACTATGATAACATCTTATGACATCATTATAACATCTTCGTCACTGGGATATCTTCGCAGCTTGAACTGGTCCCCGAAGGCTACGGAAGTACCCCATAATGTGTACTTAGTAGGGTACACCTTCACGACGATGACCTCTTAAAGTGGGTATCCTCATTATTAACAATTTTATTTAGTGTTCATCTTCATTGGGTCCAAAATTATTTATTGTAATATCATCACTACAACGACCTACCCCCAGGGTACCCCCAAGACCGACTCTCAGGGGTCCCCAGGGTACCCACAGGACCGACCCTCAGGGGTCCCCAGGGTATCCCCAGGACCGACCCTCAGGGGTGTCCAGGGTACCCCCAGGACCGACCCTCAGGGGTACCCAGGGTACCCCCAGGACCGTCCCTCAGGGTTCCTCCAGCGTACCCCCAGGACCGACCCTCAGGGGTACCCAGGATACCCCCAGGACCGACCCTCAGGGGTCCCCAGGGTATCCCAGAGTCTGCAGTTCGTGGCTCCGGGAATTTCCTCCAACCCTACGTTGTGAAATCACATATTTGTTTGAAAAGCAGCAGCTGTGATCATGTCATGGAAAACCAGATCGTCCTTTTTATCAACTACTAAATTCTCGTTAATCCAGCAGCCAAACCCATTGGCTGGCTCCCTGGGAAGGAGGTAGATTGGCTGGCTCCCTGAGAAGGAGGTAGTGAGGCTGGCTCCCTGAGAAGGAGGTAGTGAGGCTGGTTCCCCTGAAAAGGAGGTAGTGTGGCTGGCTCCCTGGGAAGGAGGTAGAGTGGCTGGCTCCCCTGGGAAGGAGGTAATGAGGCTGGCTCCCCTGGGAAGGAGGTAAAGTGGCTGGCTCCCCTGGGAAGGAGGTAGTGTGGCTGGCTCCCTGGGAAGGAGGTAGAGTGGCTGGCTCCCTGGGAAGGAGGTAGTGTGGCTGGCTTCCTGGGAAGGAGGTAGAGTGGCTGGCTCCCTGGGAAGGAGGTAGAGTGGCTGGCTCCCTGGGAAGGAGGTAGAGTGGGTGGCTCCCTGGGAAGGAGGTAGAGTGACTGGCTCCCTGGGAAGGAGGTAGTGTGGCTGGCTTCCTGGGTAGGAGGTAGAGTGGCTGGCTCCCTGGGAAGGAGGTAGAGTGGCTGGCTCCCTGGGAAGGAGGTAGTGTGGCTGGCTCCCTGGGAAGGAGGTAGAGTGGCTGGCTCCCTGGGAAGGAGGTAGAGTGGCTGGCTCCTTGGGAAGGGGGTAGTGTGGCTGGCTCCCTGGGAAGGAGGTAGAGTGGCTGGCTCCCTGGGAAGGAGGTAGAGTGGCTGACTCCCTGGGAAGGAGGTAGAGTGACTGGCTCCCTGGGAAGGAGGTAGAGTGGCTGGCTCCCTGGGAAGGAGGTAGTGAGGCTGGCTTCCTGGGAAGGAGGTAGAGTGGCTGGCTCCCTGGGAAGGAGGTGGAGTGACTGGCTCCCTGGGAAGGAGGTAGAGTGGCTGGCTTTCTGTGGAAGGGAAGGACTGAACAAGAAGAAACAGTACAGGGCTGCTATCTGTGACCCGACGGAGAGAAAGACAGGCACACGAATGCTGGTGTTCGTGAATGATGGACTGCAGGCTCGAAGGATTAATGGGAAACCACAATTTTGTATTACAGAAATGAGAAATAAAGGAATCCACTCTACATCGATCTTATGGGGCATAAATTCAACGGAACCGGCGAGGAGAAAATGTTAGGGGGTAACGCCTCGATGATTTGGGTCATGCTAGCCCCCTCAGAGGGACCTGGGTCATGCTAGCCCCCTCAGAGGGACCTGGGTCATGCTAGCCCCCTCAGAGGGACCTGGGTCGTGCCAGCCCCCTCAGAGGGACCTGGGTTATGCTAGCCCCCTCAGAGGGACCTGGGTCGTGCCGGCCCCCCTCAGAGGGACCTGGGTCATGCTAGCCCCCTCAGAGGGTCCTGGGTCGTGCCGATGACCTGAGTTGTGGCAGCCCCCCCCCCCCCCACCCTCCCTCCAGAACGGAGCGTCAGAGATAGACGGATAAAATACTTGCTAATGAATCACAACAAATCTGCTGTATACGAGGTAAAATACAGCAATACAATATATGTTTGAACGAGTTTATTTCTCATGTAATTTAAGTTTTCTATAAGTGGACCATTACACAGGTAAACTCACGTAGTTGATGAAGTAATTAAAGGTGCTGAGAGTAGGGTTGAAAGGGTCTGGAACAGTGTAGTTAAACATCACCAAGCCGGAGGTGTCATTCGTGACGGAATACATTAAGACTGTCCCTGCAACAACACACAACCACATTAAGCATCATAGCAATTCTCTGAATGTTCAAAACTAATAGAAATTGTAATTTATTCCTCTCTCTCTCTCTCTCTCTCTCTCTCTCTCTCTCTCTCTCTCTCTCTCTCACACACACAGTGCCTTAGAGACATAAACCCCAGACACAAACCCCACACACACTGTGTCTGAGAGACACAAACCCCAGACACACCGTGTCTGAGAGACACAAACCCCAGACACACCGTGTCTGAGAGACAAACTATATTACAATATAGCACAAGAAATTCCATTATATTAAGGGAACAGTAGAGGAAGCGACCGCTATGATTCCAAATTCTTGGTGGAGGAGAAGACACCTCACCTCACCCCGTGGCACCCACCCCGTGGCACCCACTCCGTGGTACCCAACCCCGTGGCACCAACCTCGGGTCATCAGAGGGACAAACGTCAGGTTCTTGTCCATGGGATACTGGTTCTTCAGTGCACCAAAGCCGTTTCTACCCACAGTGTCGGTCGGCGATGAGAAGTATTTGTTCTGAACCACAAAGTTTTGTATTTCTTCTACGATGAATATCTGTTGACAAAATATGATACTGAATATATATATATATATATATATATATATATATATATATATATATATATATATATATATGCGAACAAGCCTGAATGGTCCCCAGGACAATATGCAACTGAAAACTCACACCCCAGAAGTGACTCGAACCCATACTCCCAGAAGCAACGCAACTGGTATGTACAAGACGCCTTAATCCACTTGACCATCACGACCGGACATAATGAGGTGATAGCCTAAGCTATTTGAACCACCCCACCGCCGGCACTCGGATAGTAATCTTGGGCATAGCATTTTACCAAATCACCTCATTCTTTGGGGCACACGTGAGGAACACAAATGCGAACAAGCCTGAATGGTCCCCAGGACAATATGCAACTGAAAACTCACACCCCAGAAGTGACTCGAACCCATACTCCCAGAAGCAACGCAACTGGTATGTACAAGACGCCTTAATCCACTTGACCATCACGACCGGACATAATGAGGTGATAGCCTAAGCTATTTGAACCACCCCACCGCCGGCACTCGGATAGTAATCTTGGGCATAGCATTTTACCAAATCACCTCATTCTTTGGGGCACACGTGAGGAACACAAATGCGAACAAGCCTGAATGGTCCCCAGGACAATATGCAACTGAAAACTCACACCCCAGAAGTGACTCGAACCCATACTCCCAGAAGCAACGCAACTGGTATGTACAAGACGCCTTAATCCACTTGACCATCACGACCGGACATAATGAGGTGATAGCCTAAGCTATTTGAACCACCCCACCGCCGGCACTCGGATAGTAATCTTGGGCATAGCATTTTACCAAATCACCTCATTCTTTGGGGCACACGTGAGGAACACAAATGCGAACAAGCCTGAATGGTCCCCAGGACAATATGCAACTGAAAACTCACACCCCAGAAGTGACTCGAACCCATACTCCCAGAAGCAACGCAACTGGTATGTACAAGACGCCTTAATCCACTTGACCATCACGACCGGACATAATGAGGTGATAGCCTAAGCTATTTGAACCACCCCACCGCCGGCACTCGGATAGTAATCTTGGGCATAGCATTTTACCAAATCACCTCATTCTTTGGGGCACACGTGAGGAACACAAATGCGAACAAGCCTGAATGGTCCCCAGGACAATATGCAACTGAAAACTCACACCCCAGAAGTGACTCGAACCCATACTCCCAGAAGCAACGCAACTGGTATGTACAAGACGCCTTAATCCACTTGACCATCACGACCGGACATAATGAGGTGATAGCCTAAGCTATTTGAACCACCCCACCGCCGGCACTCGGATAGTAATCTTGGGCATAGCATTTTACCAAATCACCTCATTCTTTGGGGCACACGTGAGGAACACAAATGCGAACAAGCCTGAATGGTCCCCAGGACAATATGCAACTGAAAACTCACACCCCAGAAGTGACTCGAACCCATACTCCCAGAAGCAACGCAACTGGTATGTACAAGACGCCTTAATCCACTTGACCATCACGACCGGACATAATGAGGTGATAGCCTAAGCTATTTGAACCACCCCACCGCCGGCACTCGGATAGTAATCTTGGGCATAGCATTTTACCAAATCACCTCATTCTTTGGGGCACTTTTTACCAAATCACCTCATTCTTTCATGTCCGGTCGTGATATGTACAAGACGCCTTAATCCACTTGACCATCACCCCACTTGGCAGTGGGGTGGTTCAAATAGCCTCGGCTATCACCTCATTGTCCGGTCGTGATGGTCAAGTGGATTAAGGCGTCTTGTACATACCAGTTGCGTTGCTACTGGGAGTATGGGTTCGAGTCACTTCTGGGGTGTGAGTTTTCAGTTGCATATTGTCCTGGGGACCATTCAGGCTTGTTCGCATATATATATATATATATATATATATATATATATATATGACAATGTCAGACCACGGAGGAAAAATGAAACAGGAAATTTCCTGTTTCATTTTTCCTCCGTGGTCTGACATTGTCACATTCTTAATCACGTGTTTATTTTCGTGATATATATATATATATATATATATATATATATATATATATATATATGTTTAAAACTTCCTTGCACATAAAGGGTTACAACATACAAGGGTTGGTTACAAGCGAGGTACAAGGCTACTTTTCACAGGTTGTCTAGTTCCTTCAGCTCCTGCAGTGAGCATTTCCTCTCTGGACTGCCACACTAAGGCGCTGAACGAGGAAACTGGCGGCTCTAGGGTCTCTAGTTGTTTCAATTAGCTTAGAACCCATCTCCTTCAAAACCTACCAGCACTTTTACCCCAAGCACCAAGTTGTTTCTGAGGCAGTGGGGACAAAATTGAAATGGTGATCAAGATCTCGGTATTTACGAAACTTGGCTGCTTCCTGGTGATGGGCACTACCGCCTGGATGTGCAACACTAAAGTCAACATAGGTGTTGGCCGAAGTTGAAACACATGTGTAATCCCACACGAATTGTCTACCATTCTTCGAGGGGGTTTCATCGTGATTCCATCTGGGCTTATCAGATTCGACAGCCTCGTCAAAGTTGCGTTGTATTAGGTAACGAGGTTCTCTCTCTGCTAGACAACCGGCTGTAGTAAGGCTCCTCTTAATAATGTCATTTACCTCGCTGTGTCTTGCATGCCATCCTCCTGTGCTTTAGCAGAGCAGGCCATGCCGACCATACCAGTCGGCCTCTGCCTCGCCGCATATACACCTATATTCAGTGTGGGTTAGGGGCAGCGAGACAGGGCCACAGCAATTCAGAGGGCCTGCGGTGTGAGATGCGTGCCGGTTGCTGACATTGGGGTTACTAATAGGAAGTCACCTGCATGGGGAGCTGCTACAGCTCTAAGTCGAGCAGTGTCATGTAGTGTTATTGCAATTTCTAGGCATGTCGCAGCTACTAGGTCGACAATGGGGCGGTCCTAGCTGGATTGCTTGTGAGCTACAGAAGGCGGTGGTTGAGGTGCTGATCCTGCAAGAGAAACCCATTTGATGGTGCAGACCGTAAAACTGAGATAGTGTACCCCCTGCCTGTTGACCTAAGTAATCTGGTAGGATTTTCTTCACCAGGTTGTTAGATGCCACTGAAGAGGACAGGAACGCAGGTACTGCAATTTGTGTTGCTGTGTGTTCGCCGAGGTCCCCCCAAGTCTGATAGGAAGATTGGCTTGTTTCTACTTTGAGTCGCTGAGAGAAAAGTTGAGGGCTTTTTCTAACATTGATTTCAGCAAGCTGTCATACGCTTCTAATTTAATGTTATTGAATAATGGCAAACATTTATGAAAGTAGGTCAGCCTGAGGAGGGACAAACATCTGGTGATGAGGTAAAGTGCATCATTGGCATCAATATCTTCAATTCTTTCATCCATCCTCCTCCTCAGGTCAGCAATCTGACCTGACCAAGGTCCTTGATCTTACCAAGGACCTCGTTGATGGCGTTCCCTCCAAGGGGAACTCCTAGGAGCGTGCTGTCCTCATGGTTGGTTAAATGGATCTCCGGCAAAACACCCTTTATTTGCTCTATTATTGCTAGTTGGTGGAGGTTATTTTACGCTTGGAAGACTTCAGGGGTGAGGCCTAGACTTGCTCCTGAATTATTCTTATGTTCTCCAGGAGAGAGTCTAGATATCCAGCTGGAATACCATCGTCCAAAAACCAAATGTTGAGCTCACTGGACAGGTTATCAGTGACTTTCTTGATGACTAGGCAGAAAAGAAAAGGAGCAAAGGGGTCACCTTGTTGGACACTTTGTCATTCGGTTGCATGTTCCCTGAATGACAGGGTTAGGTCTTTACTGTAACAAGAGAGTACAATGGAAAATAACAATGAACTGCATTAAATACTGCCTCCCTTCTTACCAGACACCCTTGGGGAATGCCAAATCCGAGCTGTTTTGGCATCAGTATGTCTACTGCTGCCAGGCTAACTGTTCTAGCAGCAGCCTTAGCAACGAGGCACTGGAGTGAATTGCCCACAGCTATTGGTCTGACTCCTCTATTCTTTTTCCTCAGGGCATAGAGGGGTAGCGCCAAAAAAAGGATGTATGGTCTCTGTTAAGTTGCCAGCAAGACATGTGTTGGAGAATCTAGTTAGTTCCACAAGAAGGCCCTGTGCAATGTCTCCCAGTGCAGGATTGAACATTTGTTTGATATGGTTGAGTCTTAGTCCTGTGAATCCGCCTGCTGATCCAGGTGGGAAGGATAAAGATGCTTTATGCACCACAGACTCGATCACACACACAGGGATTCCGCTCTGGTGACACCGACTGATGGAACACTGTACTCACGTGGAGCTCTGGATGGGTGTTTGTCTCTCAGAGCTTGTGCTGTATTTTCATCTCTGGTGGCAACTGTGTCCTCGCTGGTGATGACTCATATTGCTCCTTACAGTGTTGCCTTCTTTTATTTTCTTGCTGACTGTTGCTCTGATTTTGGATGCCTCGGTTCTGTTGTTAATGCCTTTCCTGGGGTGGGTGTTTTTGGCATGGTTGGGGAGGGGTACCTGGTTATCCTCTCTTGGAAAACTATTTATAGCCCTAATGACTGAGGAAGTTTGTGATCTGTCCGCTCCTTGCAGGGACAGCTAGGCATATGTTACCAAACAGGAAAAGGTTGCAATATCCTTGGATGGTTCTGGGAGAGTCATTAACCTTTTTCAAGTGGCTGGATAATTTGGCTGCTGCTTGGATGCGGGCAGCTTTGGGGATGTGCTGCACTAGGTTCCAACCGATGTCGTTTCATCAAAACGACATCGCTTCTAGTAGGCTTCTAGTAAGTTCTCTCTGGAAATGAAGCTGTTGGAGGTGTTTTCCCCTGACTTGGTGTAGGGTGCTGATTCATACTCTCTTTGGGAGGGCGCCACATACCCGGACATCGGATTCCGTTATGGGAATGTTTGCGCACATCCCCATTATTCTTGAGACACCATGCACACCCTGTCACACTCTTAGCGCGTGCCTTCTCTGCTGGTGACTGATTGCTATCAATCTTGGCTGAGAGAAGCCTGGCTGTATAATAATTATTACGTCACTTGTTATTATTGCAATTTTCGAAGTGTATATATTTTTTATTGCACATCATCCACGAGGTGCCACAGAATGGTTTTCCTTAGTGTGTTTCTAAAACTAAGTTTAATTGTTTGGATCCATCAAACAACTGAAAACAATGAAATAAGCAACACATATGAAGCATAACGGTATGACTTACCTGGCAGGTCACCTGGTAGCCGGACACAACGTTGAAAATGTAGGCTGTGATGTTGTAGTAGCCGCCGGTGGTGTAGTTGTGCTGGAACACGGGGGTGGTGGTGGTGGTGTTGTTGCTGGGGCTGAGGAAGGGCAAGAGTTCGGTCACCCCGTCCCCCCAGGCCACCCTCACCGAGGCGTTGGTGGGGAACGCCGCCCCGCTACTCTCATTGAATTTGATCTGGGGAACTATGATAAAATTATTCAGACATTACATATATTTTTTAAAGCATCATCATTACCAGAAGAGCTTTGAAGACGCTTAGATTATTACGAATTGAATGTAGGTAAAAATCAACATATATAATGGAGTTGGGAATAAATAAAATTGACTTGTTGAAATAAACAGAGCAAACAAATGTCATGGTAATTAAAAAATACGATAAATTACGAGATATTGAATCATTTTTTTACTTTGTATAAGGATGTGATCTTTGGTTAGAAGATCACTGGCAATGAAGAGGATAGATGAGACCTGAGAATGTATGACACCTGAGAATGTATGAGACCTGAGGATGGATGAGACCTGAGAATGTATGACACCTGAGGATGGATGAGACCTGAGGATGGATGAGACCTGAGGATGGATGAGACCTGAGAATGTATGAGACCTGAGGATGGATGAGACCTGAGGATGGATGAGACCTGAGGATGGATGAGACCTGAGAATGGATGAGACCTGAGAATGGATGAGACCTGAGGATGGATGAGACCTGAGGATGGATGAGACCTGAGGATAGATGAGACCTGAGGATGGATGACACCTGAGGATGGATGAGACCTGAGAATGTATGAGACCTGAGAATGTATGAGACCTGAGGATGGATGAGACCTGAGAATGTATGAGACCTGAGGATGGATGAGACCTGAGGATGGATGAGACCTGAGAATGTATGAGACCTGGGGATGGATGAGACCTGAGGATGGATGAGACCTGAGGATGGATGAGACCTGAGAATGGATGAGACCTGAGAATGGATGAGACCTGAGGATGGATGAGACCTGAGGATGGATGAGACCTGAGGATAGATGAGTCCTGAGGATGGATGACACCTGAGGATAGATGAGACCTGAGAATGTATGAGACCTGAGAATGTATGAGACCTGAGGATGGATGAGACCTGAGAATGTATGAGACCTGAGGATGGATGAGACCTGAGGATGGATGAAACCTGAGGATGGATGAGACCTGAGGATGGATGAGACCTGAGGATGGATGATACCTGAGAATGGATGAGACCTGAGAATGTATGAGACCTGAGAATGTATGAGACCTGTGGATGGATGAGACCTGAGGATGGATGAGACCTGAGAATGTATGAGACCTGAGGATGTATGACACCTGAGGATGTATGAGACCTGAGGATGTATGAGACCTGAGGATGGATGAGACCTGAGGATGGATGAGACCTGAGAATGTATGAGACCTGAGAATGTATGAGACCTGAGGATGGATGAGAGCTGAGGATAGATAAGACCTGAGGATGGATGAGACTTGAGGATTGATTAGACCTGAGGATGGATGAGACCTGAGAATGTATGAGACCTGAGAATGTATGAGACCTGAGAATGTATGAGACCTGAAGATGGATGAGACCTGAGGATAGATGAGACCTGAGGATAGATGAGACCTGAGGATGGATGACACCTGAAGATAGATGAGACCTGAGGATAGATGACACCTAAGAATAGATGACACCTGAGGATAGATGACACCTGAGGATAGAGATGACACCTGAGGATAGATGACATCTGAGAATAGATGAGACCTGAGGATGGATGACACCTAAGGATAGATAACACCTGAGGATAGATGACACCTGAGGATAGATGACACCTGAGGATAGATGAGAGGTTAGACAGCATGGGTACCCTTTACCTTCTGACTAGATGTTAGTCCCGTCCCAGTTTAACCTGTTTCCTGAGGTGTTCCTCGTCCCATACCTTCCTCGAGCCAGATAAATACGATCGCTTATTGAAATTTACATGAGAAAAATTTCAGTTGTCATTCATTAGATGACAAGCAATGGAAACGAGTCACCTTTCCTGTCAGTTCCTCTACAGCTTTCTTAACATCGTTCTCGGCATCTGGCACCTTGGTACAGTAATCTTACTGGATTACCTAATCATCTTGGAAGGGAGCACACGGCTCCACTTCTATACACTACACCAAGTGATATTCTCTCGCAGCCTGAGCACTCCAACCAGACCCATCTAACACTCACAAGCAATACATGTGATCGCTTGAATCACAACATTAATGACTTTCCATGCAGGTGACTTTCTATTAGCGACTTCCATGCCATCACCAGCGACGAATCTCTTACTTCAAACCCTTTGAATTGCAGAGGCGTTCTGTATTGGTGCCCAAATTAACGTGGCATAAAGATATATTTGCAGCGATATAGAGCTTGACAGATACAGTCAGCATGT